CCGCCCCCGCGAAGATGGTGGTCCGTGCGCAAGTCTCCGTACATGCCTCCGTCCATGTCTCTAAACTGACCGCCGCCACCGCCGCCGCCGCCACGCATCATCCTCGAGTCGCCGCCGCCCATGCCGCGCCCTACCCCGCCCCCCCGCCGCCCGCCGTCGTGATACCCGCCGAGATCATCGCGCATCATTCCCATATCGCCTCCTCTCCCATCCCGCATCATGTCCATGCCACCTCCTCTCATCCCGTCGCCGCCGCCCCTGGGGTCCACGCCCCCCCCCCCCCGCATATCGCCGCCGTCGGGCCCCCCCCGGCCAAAAGCCCCCCGGGCGCCGCCGGAACCGCCTCTCCCTCCGCCGCCGTATTAAGGGTCAGCGGCACCCAATCTCGGAGACGACATCATGCCGCCGCTGGATTCTGGGTGTCCTGCACCCCGCCCTCTCATGCGCCCACCGCCGCCGCCTCCTCCCCCCCCCCCGTTACCGTAATACCCGCCGCCGCCGCCGCCGCCCCCCATGAGGTCGTGCGGAAGTCTACGGGAGGCCAGCATAGGGGAAGCCGGCGTCTGCTGCTGCTGCTGTTGCTGCTCCGCGTACATACCGCCTCCTCCCGCTGCCATCGGGTCGGGGTACCCCGTGGGGCCGCGGGGGGACTGATGGACTCGGGGGTAGCGAGGGTCCAGGCCATAGCCCTGCTGCGTTTATTCGCGATTGTCGTATAAGTAACAGAAAAAAACGCGGTAAAAGTTAGGATTGACTAAAACACGTTGTCAAATTAAGCCCGGTTTCGCTCATTCGAGGGTTCAGGTCATAGGCCTTGCTGCGTTTATTCGCCATCATTAAGAACAACAAGTAAACATTAGGCTTGGCTTGAACATGGCGAATACCTCGGCAAGATGTGCTGGCGGCCTGAGACCCGAAAGTTACAAGCGGCAATCCCTCCGGAGTGGGCTCATGAGAGCACAGCACCAGTCAGTGACATGAAGGGGTGATGCAAGATGAAACTAAAAACAGCCCAAAGCTGGCTGCAGGTCGAGCAGCTCATACAGCCGACGTCGTCTTGACTCCACCGAGTCCACCCAACCACAAAACGAACCAAAAAAATCAATGCCGAGTGTATGGGTCTACCCACCACGACATGTGACTACATAGTACCCCCCCGCGCGTATAGAGCCTCGTCCGGTGAGAATCCGGCGTGATCCGTCCCGGCTTGCAGGGATGCGAGGTCAATGGTCTAACGACTACGGCATGCACGACTATGAGTACCCCCCCCGCGCGTGTACCTGTCCTCCGGCCCCCTGCTGTTGGCCACGGTAGTACGAACCGTCCGTGGAGCCCCGCAAGTGCGCAGACGACGCGTCAGCCCCCCCTCCCCCCAGGCTCCCGCGCTGCTGCTGGTCCCCCTGCATCCTGGTGTCGTATCGAGGGTCTGGGGGCGGAAGCTGGGGCAAGTGCCGAGCATCCTGCTTGCAGAGAGAATGGGGGTGGACCGGCGGCAAGAATGACAAACAACAAGAGTCAAGATGACACACATGACGATACACCGCGACCACATGTACCACTTCCTTGTCACCGACCGCACTCTGTTGCGTCAAAACGCTTAACTGTAAGTACCACCCTGTTTTGTAAATATAGCGGCCATTGGGATATTCATGTTTGCGTCACATCGGTCCCTATATTTCCAATGTTTGAGTGGTGTATCATCATCGTAAATACGCACAAAGGAAAGCGATCACAGAGTCTCTACATGGAAGAACGCCAACTCCAAAGACGGCCGGCTCTTGTTGAAAACGGCGTCAACGCGTCAACGCAGTGAGAGCTTCGGGTAACAACGAGGCCATGGTCACTCGTCAGGGAGTGACGTCGCTGAGCGTCCCCCCATTTCCAGAGAGTTCTATAGCCTGGTGAATTCACGCCATCTTTGAACCGCGCGCGCTCTGTCAATGTGTGACCCAACTCTCACCAGCTGATACCCCATCGTACTCCCCGCGTGCAGCTCCGGTGTGAGCGGCGGCATGCCCCCCATGAGCGCCGCCTGGGGCATCTGCTGGGGGGCCCCGTAGGGCGACATCTGCGAGCCGTTGTACGGGGACGGAGGCATCATCCCTCCCGCGTGAAGTCCGATGCCGGCGCCGCTGGCGGTAGCTGCCCCTCTCGAGCCGTCCATCATGTGGTGGCTGCTGCCGCTGTTCCCACCGCCGCTTCCGCCGTAGGGGTCTAACCTGCTGCTCCCGCCCGCTCCCCCGCCGTAGGGCAAGCTCTTCCTTCCCCCGGCTGCGGCTCCCCCGGGGACTCCGCCGCCGCCGAGAGAGAGGGTACCCATGGCCCCGACGATGTCGCCGTCGCCCCCGGCGGCACCACCGTACCCTTCTCGGTGATGAGTCACGGAGAACTGTGAATGCGGCTTGTTGACATCGCCGGGGGGCCCGTGGCCGTACCTACCCCCGCCATTAC